AGAATACAGCATCATGTCTGTGATGTACTTAACAAAGAAGCATATCCTGAATTTGTACATGAGGAAACATTAGGCAAACCCAATATGAAGGACATTCTAAATAATAACTGGCCAGAAATCCCCAAACATGTCCCTAAATCAAGAAAGAGTAAGGAATTGCTCCAGATTGAAGGAAACTAAAGAGATATGGCATTGGAATACAATATGGGATTTTCATCTTGAAAGTTTTGTTATTTGGGGAACCTGGGTGTCTCAGTTGGTAAAGTTTCTGACACTTGATTTCTGCTCAGGCAGGTCATGATCTCATGGTTTGTGAGTTTGAGCCACATTTCCAGCTTCCCCCTGGCAGTATGAAACTTGCTTGGGATTCTCTTTCTTCCTCATTCTCTCTGCCCCTCCCCCACTTAGACACACTCTCTCCTGCTTTCCCTCTCTCTTTCACTCTCAAAACAAATAACTTAAAAAAAAAGAGAAAGTTTTGTTATGTAAGATATTGAAACAACTTAGGAAGCTTGAATGGGGCCTAAAGATCACATTGCAATAATGCATTAATGTTAATTTCCTGATTTTAATAATCACATTTTAGTTATACATGGAGAATGTCTTTATTCATAGAAAATAGCTAACATTCTGTCTCCAACTTTCTGAGAAAAATTCTGCTTATTGGGCACAGAGACTAATGATAGTTTACTCCTACTTAGGACTATTCTCTGTGGCCATGGATGACTCATACGGTAAAATAATATATTTGCTTTATCATTTCTTGATAAAAGAAACTATGGAGATTTATATGTTTCTAAATTATAATAATGGTATAATAAATTAATATTAGGGATAGGCCCCTTTTTCACTATTTCCTTCCCGGTGTTGGACTGTTTAAGTATGGCCATGTACAAAATATTCTGTTTAAAAGCCTTCAAAAACCTCCACCAAAAATTCCATCATAGCACATATCTCCAAACTTCACATAAAACAAAATAAAGTTCATAGGAAAAAAAAAAAGAGTACATGTTAATTTTTAAATTAAGCCAGCAGTGTAATTCTCTTTAGATGTACCTTGTTTTGGTTATACTTATACTACTTTTTTTTTAAGTCACTGAATAAGAAATACTATTCCTTAGATTTTGTTTTAAGCAGGGTCCCCTATTCTCAGGTATAAAATAAAAAATAAAATAAAATAAAATAAAATAAAATAAAATAAAATAAAATAAAATAAAATAAAATAATAAAATAAAATAAAATGAATAAAACAATCATCCCAAAGTCTCAACCAGCTCATCCAAGATTGAAAGCTAAATGTAAGTCCCAAAGACATTTTAGAATCCAGCAAAGGGTATAACTGATTGCAATCAACTTTGTTTCTGAAGAGTCCGAGAGTCATACTTACTTTCTGATATTGGAGTTATTTTTTTATATAAAAATGAAGATCGAATAGTAAACAATACTGCATAAAATTCCTGTAATGGTTACATACTAAAACAGGGAATACAAATCTTGAGTTGGATCACCTGGCCGCTGACTACTGCTCAGGAAATGGCCGATCGTACTGCATAAATTATGATTCACAATTGGCATTTATCAAACGTGTCATAGAGACCGGGTTATGAATAACTCAATCAGCTGCCTCAAGATGGCTTGGCTTAGCTCAGGCAGAGGATGATGATACAAGTATGAATAAGGGTTTAACGATGTTACATCTGTCAGCTCTCTAGGAAAAGTTACTTAAACTGCATACCATACCCATGCATGACCACTGGTATTACAGAAGAACGTTACTGTAATTCATTGTTACTCTAGTGATCTTAAAGAATTAAGACCACATTCATAACATCCAAATCTGTCTCCAAGGAGAAAGTCTGAGTTGGGGAATATCTGGATCATTAAGTAATTTCCTTGGGTCAGAGTAAAAGCACTTTATCTGCGAATATTACTTCCGTGGCATACTGGATGGAGCACAAGTTGGTAACAAAGTGACCTTTCTCTTAAGCAATTAATATATTCACTAGAATTTTCTTCAACTGTCAGGAACCAAATATATTCTCTAGTCTGATAAGTCTTAAATATTAATTTTGCTCTGAAATCTCTGCTCACCTCGCTCACCACCACTCCCCTTTGCATAATTACAGTCTTTGTAATTTTCACTTGAGTTCATTTCCACTCCATGTTTAATTGTTCATCATATTTTCTGATGCACAATCTATGATTGCTAATGACATTTGTATAATAAGTTGTTTTGATGTGCCAATATTTCTTGATCATCTGTATTACAAAATAAGCTATTTTACTGTATCTATTTTTAAATTGGTTGATTCTTCTCCAACACTGTAATAACAACATTGCCTGTTATCGGAAAAGGACAATTATTTCCTAGAGAATATTCAAACACAGATTTGTAAAACTGACAGCAAGATTTGCTGTGACAATAGTTATTCTGTCTAACAAATCATGGTGAACTCCATTTGGTGTTGAACAAAAATAATTTTGATATCCCAAGGAAAATGACGCAGAAGCAGGAATTTGCCAGGAGGTAGGCGGTTAAAGAAAATAGAACGAAGAGTTATCACAAGTGATTTACAACAGTGACCATTTCCATGTGGTAAGAAGGTGTGCTTGCGGAATGAGCCCCAGAGATCTAGGAACATAGATGTGACATCTGGACGGTTGCGCGGAAATTTCTCCTTAGCTTTGGGTTGGTCATGTAAAAGCAGAAACAGCAAATACCACAAGCCCAACTGGGTCTCTTATGTTGTTTTGTTATGTGTATAGACAGGATTGTGGGGAATGGCAGAAGCAGTATGTGGTAGATACTTAATTTCTAATATTTAATTCATAAGTGTTGTTTAAACTTCTTAGCGAATCTTTGAAAACAGCATATTATGTAAATGTAGTCCAATAATACCTGGATGAACCCATAGCATTCAGTGTGGTGTCACCTTCAAAAGAAATACTCCTTTATTATTGTTAAAAAAAAAAATGAAAACAGGAGGGTGTGTTGAAATTCAGTTTAAGAATTTACTGGAATTTCTTGAATAAACAATGAGAAATTTCAGTAATGTCATACAGCAAACCATTTTTAAAAACCCATTCTTCCCTAGATCTTTCTGATACCTCAAGGCAGTACAGCAAATTGTGTCTCACCCCAATACTGGAAAAGCTGGGACCACTTTGTTTTGTCACTTACCTACCCTGATTTTCCAGATTTATTTCTCTCTTCAGGTTCCAGGTGTGAACTTCTTTATATAAAGTTCAGACTCTGCAGTCCTTCCCTTTATCCAAATTGGCACAACAAAAGAACTAATTACCTGTCTAATAAGACAGAATTTTCTAATAATGTAGAGGGATGTGTATGTTTGCTTTAAGGATGTTGTTTCTACAGGGGCGCCTGGGTGGCTCAATCAGCAGCTTTGGCTCAGGTCATGATCTCACAGCCCCATGTAGGCCTCTGTGCTGCCTGCTTTCGATTTCTATGTCTCCCTTTCTCTCTCTGCCCCTCCCTCCATAAAAAAATAAATAAACAGTAAAAAAAAAATTTTAAAAAGGGATGTTGTTTCTATAATAGTCACTGAGAGTCATAAATTCTTATAAATATGTCAAATTCACACGAAGTAAGCCCTGGGTTAAACCACTTAGGAACAAAAAAAAAAAAAACATTGTCTTCTTAAAAACCTTACTTTTGGGGCACCTGGGTGGCGCAGTCGGTTAAGCGTCCGACTTCAACCAGGTCACGATCTCACGGTCCGTGAGTTCGAGCCCCGCTTCGGGCTCTGGGCTGATGGCTCAGAGCCTGGAGCCTGTTTCCGATTCTGTGTCTCCCTCTCTCTTTGCCCCTCGCCCGTTCATGGTCTGTCTCTCTCTGTCCCAAAAATAAATAAACGTTGAAAAAAAATTATAAAAAAAAAAACAAAAAAAAAACACCTTACTTTTTCTCAAAATAGTACCTTCGTTTTTTTTCTCTCCCAGTAATATCCCAATTTTCAGGGACACTTTCTAATAAAATCTACTTCTTCTCGATTGTACTTCTAAATCTCTAGCAATCAGCATGATATAAAAGCAACAGCTCAAAAATGTAGCAAAAACTGAATAACAGATTTGCAGCCCTGTGGTTGTACACTAATATTTAAAATGGGATGGTTGTAGGGCCAGCAGAAGCCTTCTGAGGAATGTCAGACAGGAAACTTAGCAATGGCTCCCCACAAGAGTTTCAAGTTGTAACCTGGGAGCAGTGGGTAGCTTTCTCTTACTAATGTGCTAGACAGGAGAAGCTACTTTGAAATAGAATAAGGGATTGGCAGTGGTGACTGAGGAATAAAAGTTATTTAAAATCGTCATTAAAACCATAATCCTTAATTCATTGACCTCAAAAATACATTATCTTAGAACTTCTGAATTTAGCTTGATATTGAAATGTGAATTTATATTCTATAAATTAATACCATGAATTTATATACACGGTAGCTGAATTGTAAATTTATTCTAATGAGTTCACGATAATACTTGCTTCCTGGTTTGATGATGTAACTACTATGGGTTACTTGCAGTCAAAACAAAACAATATCATCCTTCTGGAATCTCCATCTATAGCACGCTCCTTTCTGGACCACTCCAGACAAATATAGAACACATGCTTTGGATGATTTACTGTGAACCATGAATTACTATCTGCTATTTGGTAGGTACGGTAGGTACCTGTGTAGGCATCTGGAATTGCAATGATAATGAATTTTAGTACAAAGTGAGTTTTGTACTTAATTACAAGGAATTCTTTGAGCTCAGGTGAATGCAAAGACTGGAAAATAGGGTAAATGCTATATATCCTACATGTTTATGAATCTATTTATATATTTAGATGGAGACAAAAAAAATGGGAAAATTGAAAATAATTGCATCCTTTACAGTGGAGGAATAATCTTCTGGCTTACAAATAAGATGTTTACACCAAACTGCAAGAAATGTTGAAAAGGCCTCATAGCATCTGACAAAATTTCGATTTGCCTACTCACCCACAGGAGACATTTCTGGGACACTAGCAACGTAAGGTCCATCCAAGAACTTTGGCTCATTATCATTAATGTCCTGTACTTTGATGATGAATTCCGATTCAGGCTCCAGGGGCTTCCTGGTTTCTATGTCCACAGCCTGAGCACGAAGTGTGTAGAAAGGTTTCTCTTCTCTATCCAGGCTCCTTATTGCATGAATGTCCCCTGTAGTTTCATCAATGGTAAAAACAGTGCCCGCGCCGTCTCCTGAGAGGGTGTATTTAACAGTGCCCTCTCCTTTATCTAAGTCAGAATGGAGCTTTTGGGGGGAGAAAGAGAGACAGAGACAGAGACAGAAAACACCATTAAAGGGATGGCCCCGTATTAAAAATACTTACAGCATAACTTTTCATCAGAAAAGTTAAAGAAATATCTTGTGGTTCTTTTTTCATTTTCATCTCCTTCTTTCTTTCCTCCCTCCCTCCCTCCCTCCCTCCTTTCCTTCCTTCCTTCCTTCCTTCCTTCCTTCCTTCCTTCCTTCCTTCCAACTCTTTGATTATAAACATTTTAAATACACACAAAAAATTAGAAAAATGCATGGTAAATATTTATATATACATGTATATATCCCAGAGATTCCATCATTTACCTTTTAATCCACAGTTGACCCTTTAATTATGCAGGGTTTAGAGTGGCCGACCCCTGTAGCAGTTGAACATATGTGTATGACTTTTAACACCCACAACACTTAACTACTAATAGTCTACTGTAGACCAGAGCCTTACCAACAACAAAAATAAGTGTATTAACACATATTTTCTACGTTTATGTATTATATACTGTATTCTTACAATAAAGTGAGGTAGAGAAAAGAAAACATTATTAAGAAAACACAAGGAAGAGAAAATACATTTACAACATTATACTGTATTTATCTATACTATAAGCTTATGTATTCGTGAAAAAAATACATGTGAGGTTTAACCTCCATAAAGTTCAAATCCGTGTTTTTCAAGGATCAACTGTATTTGATCATCATTGTGCCTTCTTATTTGAAAGCAGAGGAGAGTTTTGGCACACCAGATGGTTACAGTTATGTGTAGTAGAGTATCTCATTTTAACAGACTGATTTTCAATGAGTTATTCAGTATTACTCAGCTAAATGTTGGATAGGATCACTGATTATCTTTTCAGATTTGCAGACAAATAGCTTGCTCTAATTCCTTCTATATATTTGAAATCTTGTAATGTAGAAAAGTTTTGAACCGCTGATAATTTCTTCAACACATGTACAATTCACTCTATTATAGTATGTAACAAGATACACATAAATAACAGGGGAGGACTAAAAAGACGATACATTTTCATTGCAACACTTTAAGTCAATGTTTTTCAAACTGGAGTCCAAGAGTTGATAGAAGAGGAACATAGACTTGGAGATCTATAAATTATCCAATAATGTATACATACAATGTAAGTATTACATTATTTATACTTCCCTAAGAATATGCATACTCATATATATATTTATAAGTAATATACTCACTATTTAAGTTATACAGCATGTATGTTATTATAAATACCATTTTTTTATTCAGATGGTGATCTAAAATGTTTTAGCCTATGCCTAATCATTTGTATAAGGCCATCTGATTTCAGAGTCCACATTTTTAGATTTAAGAGTTCATTCCAAGAGCACCTGGGAGGCTTGGTGGGTTGAGCATCTGACTCTTGATTTCAGCCCAGGTCATGATCCCAGGGTTTTGGGATCAAGCCTATCATCGGGCTCAGTGTTGAGCATGGAGCCTGCTTTAGAGTCTCTCTTCCTCTGCCCTGCTCCCCACTTGTGCTCTCTCTCTCTCTTTCTCTAAAAATAAAATAAAATTTAAAAAAATAAATGAAAGCTCATTTCAGTCAATGGATCAACCAAAGGAAAAACATTCTTTTAGTGTTCACAGTCATTTGGACTGTGCCTCAAAATTTGCCTACAAGCCCACCATTCTTCCAAAATTTGGGGAAGAATGAGTTCTCGTTTTTTTAATGTTTCAAACCCCACAAAAAAAGGTTTGAAATACCTTAAATCATATAAATATCCTTTTGCAAATAAGCTCTGTGTATTAGTATTAGTAAAATCAAAACATACACAAAATAAAGATAACAGTGGCTATATCTTTGCTCTTAAACTCAACATTCTGGTTTTAAGTTCAATAAAATAGCATCATCTTTCCAATTTAATGTTATTAAAATTAATGCATTCATTCTGTGAATTTGTATTTATTTCAAAATTTTCTCTGAAAATATACTTGTATAATAACATATGCAAAGGATTGATACCTGGACAAGTGTTACAATTGAAGTAATGGAAAATAGAAAGAGAGCACATGATTTGAGTTTTTTCAAGTTCCTGTATATTTTACTCAAGTCTAAGGAAAATTGTGATAAATGACAGAAGGAAGATTTTTTCCTCCTAATTTTTTACAAACTCTTATGAAGCAGAGGAAATTTCAAGTGTAAAATCAAGCTGTAGATAAATGTACTTTGAACTTGGGAATTTCAAATTACATATTTCACCCATACTATGAAAGATATTCAACACAGTGGGTATTGCTTTCTCTTTTAAATGTATCTAAAGATATGAGCCGGGCAAAAGCTCAATGCAAAAGCAAAGACTCTATAAACTACATCCATTTTGCCAATGGCTCCAAAGAATATGTGGCAATATTGTGGGAAGCGGGTGAACATTCTAAGAAGGTTTTTACAATGGGATCCAAGAAGAGTTACAAAAAAAAAAAAAAAAATCCACATTTAGCTAAAATCAGAACTGTTTTCTTTTCTAACAGACACAAGAATAGAAAAGCAAATGTGTTTGCGGCTCTATCCAAGATCGAAATTAAATTCAGTTGCTGTTCTTCCTCACTCTTCTACTTTTCCCTTCTAATTTAAAGCTGAATTTTGTAGGGGTTAAAACTTCAGAAGAAATATGTGAATATACATTAAAACTTTGAGCTGGGAATGAAGTTGATTAATGTAAACCTCTTGAGAGGATCAGAAATTTTATAGCAGTTCATTACATGACAATACCTCATAGGGGACCACCTGAGATATCTTGCACTGACAGGCAATATATTTTTTAACTTTTTTTGTCTTTATTTTTTTAAGTTTATTTATTTATTTAGAGAGAGAGACAGAGAGCGCAAGTGAGGGAGGGGCAGAGAGAGAGGCTGAGGCAGAGAATCCCAAGCAGGCTCTGTACTGTCAGCAAGGAGCCTGACGCTGGGTTCAAACTCGGGAACCAGGAGATCATGACCTGAGCCAAAACCAAGAGTGGGACACTTACCCAACTGAGCCACAAAGACGACCCCTGGTGGGCAATATTTAAAATTAGTTATTCAGTGGTGATTGAACTGGCACATGAGTAACTAGCTTAAAGTATAGGTGTTTTTCCAGCATCATTTCTAATATTAAATAAGTGACTGCCTGATGTGGGTATTGTAGATAGATAGCTTCTTTTATAATTTCTGTACACTTTGTTATATTCAGTGAATATAAATTGCTATAAATAAAAATACACATAACTGAAAAAGTATACATATAGAAATATATCTATATGTACTTTTATATTTATTATTCTCTGACTATATACACATATGACATGATATAAAAAAAGTCAACACTTTCTGTTTTTTTTAACACTTTCACTAACAAAATACCATAACTATTTTTCAGTATCACTTGAAATTCTTCAAAAAAAATTTTTTAAGTAAACTCTATCTCCAATGTGGGGCTCAAACTCAGGACCCCAAGACTGTACCAACTGAGCCAGGCTGGTACCCCTCTACAGAATAATTTTTGACGTGCACATTATTCATTCAAGGAAGTTGAATGATTTAATGAGCATTGCCTATTTTTTTCATAAATAGTAAGATGAATGTACGTGTGTGTATGTGTGTTCTTCTGTTTAGCTCCTTTAGAGGTAATTATCAAGACCAAAAACATAATTTTTATGAATCAAAAAATGTGAAACTTCAGTGATTCCAGATGTTGATCTCTGTAGATGGAATTTGTTTCTTTTTGTGTTTTCATTTTTATTTAGTTTTGAAGGAGAGAGAGACAAGAGTGTGAGTGGTGGAGGGGCGGAGGGGCGGAAAGAGAGGGAGATACAGAATCTGAAGCAGGCTCCAGGCTCTGGGCTGTCAGCACAGAGCCCGAAGCAGAGATCAAACTCGAACTCACAGACCACGAGATCATGACCTGAGCCGAAGTCGGACACTCAACCGACTGAGCCACCCAGGCGCCCCAGGAATTTGTTTCTTAAATCTTTCAGGAATGAAATGCAGGCTTAGCTTATACTGTGAAGCTACTTCTTAGTGTCATTTCCATAAAGAAAGAGGGAGGGTTTCAGAAGAAGGATTTTCGTGACTTGCCTCATCTTTGGGCTGTGTTAATTCACAATGACAAAGCACATGATGTCGTTTTACACGGGGCTTTAAGCCACACACATACAGAAAGCTAATGATTCCACAAGGATGAAATTATTTTCATTTACAGCAATTTAAAAATGGCAGCAAGAAAGGTTTCTTATTCCAATTATGTTTTTAAATGTTTATTTATTTATTTCGAGAGAGGGTACCGACAGGGGGTTAGAGGAGAGAGAGATTCCCAAGCAGGATCTGCACTGTCAGTACAGATCCTGACCTGGGGCTCGATCTCACAGACTGGGAGATCCTGACCTGAGCTGAAAGCAAGAGTCAGACACTTAACTGACTGAGCTCCCCAGGCGCCCCTCCAATTATTTTTTTCAAAGCTGTTTCTGAGTAGGTGCTGACTGTATTTACTGACTAAAGCAGCCAATTTCAATAATATCATTTTTTAGTATTGACATTTAAAATTTCTCCCGGAAACACAGTTCTATAAACACGAGATGTAGAAATCCGCACTGTGAGAGCAGTTGTTTTGTGGAAGCGGTGGTGGTGTTTTTCGGACGTTTTCCAAGTCATCTGAGATGGAGCATGAAAATATGATGCCGAGAAAGGCTTTAACGAGCTTCGGAGCATCAGCAAATCTGGATTCCAGTGTCTAAAAGTTTGAGAAAGCTAATTTAAAGTTAAATGTTTACTAGCATCTCTTTGATTATATTTTAGGAACTGCTGCACAAAATAAGGGATTTAGTCTTCTTTTTCTCTGGGTTGAAAATACACATAAAATAGAAAATGTTTTTTCTATTACTGTGTCCAGCAGTGATTTTCTTTTCATTTGCTATTTGCCGGGATAGGGGGTGGTTACTAGGCCCGGGGAGCACAGGAGTTATGTTGGAAGGAG